TGGGTATGTGTGTGTGTGAATTTTATATTGGTCAACAGCAAAATAAATGCTGGAAACCCATTTCTATGGAGTACTAGAATAAAAAATAGATTCACAAAAGCGACTCAACTATGTTATGATTAACTATGTTTGAACTTTATAACACTCAACGTGGCAAAAGAGAAAAAATTACATATATATAACTACAGACATGAAACATGAAACACACCCAGTGGACACTGCTCTGAAAAAATCAATGTAAAATGCGGTTTTGTCTCCTACTGCTTCCTCTGGTATGATGCTTATTATTGGCAACAAATGAGGATAAAGCTCAGCTGCGCTTCCTCGGCCACAGTCACGCAGAACGGAGTAGAGTCGGTTAAAGACTGACTTGTTGTTCCCTTCGTTCCAAAGTGCCTAGGGGTATACAAAGTTTAAGATCACATGAAAATAGTATGTCCATCTACTTTTTTGTGTGACGCCATGGTTTCAGCCAACAAACTTTTCCCTAAAGTAATTTAAACGTCTCTATATTCACTCTTTTCCAAAATCTAATTTCCTATGGCCACTGGAATTGCCCCAATATATTGGCTTCTAACAGACAGTTTTCTTAAGACACCAACATTATGAGAGAAAGAGAAACCAAAAAATCACCTACCGGGTACATGAGACACAAGTGCAAGAAAGCCACCCAGATGTGTGGTAAAACAGCTCCTTCATGGTCATCCAGGGATGGGAGGATGACATGACTCACTTCTTCACTGTAGCATTTTAGGAGACCAGAGTCATACTCAAACATGTTGCTCAGGGTTGAAAACCAAGCAATGCGAACCTGAAATTAATGGTAAATTGCCTATATGACCTTTTTTATTGGGGGGGGGGGGGGTTATTAAATGTGGTTCACTTCAAATTAGTTCAAAATAATATGAGACAATAAAAAAAGAATAGAAAACAGTACTCTGAGACATAATGTTTCAATATACACAAAGCCTAGTGCCAGGGCAGGCCAATAATTCACAAAACCACAGGAATTATTTTCACCATTGAATGCTTGTGTTTTGACATTTTCCAAAATTTGGGGTTCTGGATAAGAGGCTGAACCAATGCAATCACATCTGGCTTTTTCTGAGTATTTCTGGTAGTGTAGGTGAGCAGGAGAGAAATGCCTTTCAAGGAACAAACAAGAACATGCGTGTATTTATTCTTCATGTCCTCCTCATCTGTTGTTCTGTGGATGAAGAAGGGGATGTTATGTGAGAGTGCATTACTGCTTTCCCTCTAACTTTATAAAATTCTTTTCCTTTGAAATGCAAAAGAAAAAACACTATTTTACAATCCCCTTTATATACTAAGATACTATAAACTAAAATTCTAGTGATGGCATAATCTTAATGACATGCAAAATTGAAAAATAATGAGAGGGTACAGAACACAGTATTACACAAGACACTTACTTGGCATCTGATAAGGTCTGTGGTGTCTGCGTAAAGAGGTTGTCTTTGATGTGCTCAACAATTTCCTTCCCGCTGAAAATCATAACTTCTGCTATCTTCTCAGCAGCAAAGACATCCTGCCAGAAATAGGTTTATTAATTTACAAAGGATCCTAATGAGCAGAAGGACAAGGAATGGAATTCTTACTACTAAGTTCAGACTTAATCCATATACACTAACTAATGACTATCATTACAAGACTACCAATAGCATGGTTTTACTTATGATCTTTGTGACTATTTGGTGGGAAGTATTAAAAAATTCTGGGACCTGAATTACACTATGCATCAGGCTGTGGAAGGAGAAGTAAAAGAAAAAATGTAATCTAACCTGGAGTGCTTTCAGAGCTGCTGAAGAGGCTGCTGGGTGTGGATCTACCATACCCATCACCCACGAAGGCATGATGGAACGGAGATGAGGGGCAAGCTGTTTACCCACTTGTGATACTAATGCTCCATGAGCAATCTGGGCAGCCTCTCTCACCTGTGGAAAAGTTACAAATTATGGTTTACACAATGAAAGTCTATCCAATCCAAGTTGTATAGTCTGCAAGCAATTTACAAGCCTATTTCAGAATGAATTCCTCAATGTGTCCAGGAGACACTGGATTTTAAGATGTACTTACTCTTCTTTCCACATCAATGGTTAACTTTGCATACAATCTAGGCCAAAAGGGAAGAGCTGTCTTGATGGACTCTACATCTCCATTTCCACATAAAGCTTCAAATTCTTGTAATGCCTATTAAAACAAAAACGAAAAATTATGATTAGGTCAAATCATAAAATAATTAATCTTTATTATACAATTTAACCCATTGCCACCGGGGAAAATGAAAAAAAAAATAAAAAAAAAATGGGAAAATGCTGTGTTCATTTTTCATATTTTTTGTGAAATGCCTTACCTGATTTCACCTTTCCATGAATTGGCGGGAAAATGTATTTTTTACTAGTGCTATGAATATCGATGGTGTTATTTTTATTATAAACATTATAATTACTATAATGTTATAAACATTAGTAACAGCAAAATAAGATAATGTAAAATATTTTCGTAAATTAAAGAAAAGGGTAAACGGGCGAGACAGGCTGTACTCGTAAATGGCTCATTGGTGATTTAGTACAAGTGTAGCCATCTATGTGTAAAATAATTAAACAAGTAAACTCACAGTAGGCATAGCACAGATACGTGACATCCCATCACGAATGGGTTAAAAATTATTAATGACATAATAAAATCTTCAAAACATAAAAAATAAAATAAAAATTTTCCTAGTTACTTTTTATCTCATTTCTAGCTATTACACACACACACACACCTTGATTTTTGTAGTGGCATCCTTTTTGGACATTTTCCGCAGAGCCACTCGGAACTCTGCTGATATTGTACTATCATCAGAAGGACTTCCTTGTAAGGCAGCTGGGACATATCCCAAGTCCTGTAAGGCACTGAAACCCACAAATCCTGTTGCTCCTCCAAGATGTTCTGCCATCCTCCCACTGCTGGAGGGCTGTTGGGAAAGAAGACTTTGCATTATCGATGTTGTGGTTTTGTCTGTGGATTGGAATGACAGAAAAAAGATAGAACATGTTCAGTTGCAGAAAAACTGACTAACTGATATTTATGAGGACTCTTTTCTTCTTCATCTTCCTCTTCTTCTTTATTTGTATCCTTTTCTACTATCATATTGATAATATCACCTCTCTTAAAAGGCTATGAAAACTTTGCTTTTGTCATTATTAGCCTAAAATGGACCCGTGGTATCCAAAGAAGAACCAAAACACAAAATTATTTGTTCTTCATGTATGTGGTAAAGTAAGTCCTGCTGGACAGTGCATCTTCTGACTCTCTCCTTGTCTCATTTGGTGTTCTCCAAGGCATCTTTTATTTCTACCAATTAATACTGAAAACAACTGCAGACTCCTTCAATATGAAATAGTTGCCTTTGAACAGTGGGAAAGGTCATGGCAAATAACCTTAAATAAATGCAAGGTACTCCATTTCACCAGATTACACACACCAATACAATACACCTACTCTAAAAATAATCAACAACTGACATCCACAAGATCCTACAAATACCTCAGAGTACACCTGACTAACACTCTCACTTCTAACACTCACACTGACTTCATCCCAAAAAAAGCAAATAGAACTTTGGAGTTTCAGGAGAGAGACTTGCACAACTGTACACCAAACATCAAACACATAGCTTACAACACACTTGTACACCAACACTTAATCCGCAGAGCCACTCGGAACTCTGCTGATATTGTACTATCATCAGAAGGACTTCCTTGTAAGGCAGCTGGGACATATCCCAAGTCCTGTAAGGCACTGAAACCCACAAATCCTGTTGCTCCTCCAAGATGTTCTGCCATCCTCCCACTGCTGGAGGGCTGTTGGGAAAGAAGACTTTGCATTATCGATGTTGTGGTTTTGTCTGTGGATTGGAATGACAGAAAAAAGATAGAACATGTTCAGTTGCAGAAAAACTGACTAACTGATATTTATGAGGACTCTTTTCTTCTTCATCTTCCTCTTCTTCTTTATTTGTATCCTTTTCTACTATCATATTGATAATATCACCTCTCTTAAAAGGCTATGAAAACTTTGCTTTTGTCATTATTAGCCTAAAATGGACCCGTGGTATCCAAAGAAGAACCAAAACACAAAATTATTTGTTCTTCATGTATGTGGTAAAGTAAGTCCTGCTGGACAGTGCATCTTCTGACTCTCTCCTTGTCTCATTTGGTGTCTCCAAGGCATCTTTTATTTCTACCAATTAATACTGAAAACAACTGCAGACTCCTTCAATATGAAATAGTTGCCTTTGAACAGTGGGAAAGGTCATGGCAAATAACCTTAAATAAATGCAAGGTACTCCATTTCACCAGATTACACACACCAATACAATACACCTACTCTAAAAATAATCAACAACTGACATCCACAAGATCCTACAAATACCTCAGAGTACACCTGACTAACACTCTCACTTCTAACACTCACACTGACTTCATCCCAAAAAAAGCAAATAGAACTTTGGAGTTTCAGGAGAGAGACTTGCACAACTGTACACCAAACATCAAACACATAGCTTACAACACACTTGTACACCCAACACTTGAGTACTGTATGGCTGTATGGGACCCCTATACTAAGTATAACACTGAGAAGCTTGGACAGGCTGACAGGTTTATTACACACAATAACACATGTACAACTGGTATAACAACTCAAAAAACAAATAAACATGGACCTGCTCAAGACACGAAGACAAGCTTATAGAGTTACAATCACGTACAAAATCACAAACAACTTTATGGACATTAACAATCAGGAATACTTGCAAGCAGCACAAACACATAGCACATGAATCTCACATAATAGTAAGTATCTTACATACCACATCAACACTGATTCTTACATGCACTCCTTCCCATGTACATATGCGACTGGAACAGGCTACCCCAATATGTCATTGAAACAAGAACACTCTAAACTTTCACTGACAAACTAAAGAAACACATAACATAAGAAGCACCTTCATAAACTCAAACATTACCCCTTGTTCCCTAATCCTTTTCCACACCCCCAGTACCAATTATATGTGTGATATGCGCTTACCAGTGCCATATGCATCAACTTTGAGAATGAGGTTGAGGTATGTATGTCCATTATGGGCACTGGTTCTTAACGTTTTGTATAGATTAATTCTGGTTAATCTTTATGGTATGGATGTACAAAGCTAGGGCAAATTGAAGATAATATTCATGTAGAAGACAAAAAGATGCAGTCACTGATACAAGAAATAATCTACAATCACAAACAGTAATGCCAAAAAATAAAGGAAAAAGATCACAGAATGTGCTGCCAAGAGCCCAAGTCCACTTGGCGTTCCTGAGTTTCAGCTCTATCTTACTGTGCATACCACAGTGATGATAATGTTCCTGGGGGTACTGGGGGGGCAGACCCCCTATCAACCCTCCCATTACATGCCCAATCATTGACACTTATTGCTGAACAGATTTTGTGATGTGGAGTAGGGGACATAGTCTCTGGTGAGTATGTCCATACTGTAAAGCTTTACCAAAATTTCCCATCAAATCTTGGTTTTAAAAGTCTATCTTAAAAGCTTATTTTATAAACAATACATACACATGCTGCAGCTTTTTGCCCTAGGGCCAAAGGATGCCAAGAATTAGGGCTGCGGCACAAAGCCAGATGTGGACATGTAGGCGTCTTTTAAAAGGCGACCCTAGTGTTGACCTGCTTGCTTCCTAATCAATTTGCAAAGGTACTACCGTGGATAAAAAGTGTCTTATTTGTGGTTATTCTGTCCATTACAGGCAAATCTTACCTTGTACTACATGGCTGTAGAAAACCATGGTTGCTAAATAATAATTTTCCTTGCTTTAGGGAAAACGGCTACTGATAATCTACATGCACGCATTGTCAATCCACAATACAGGACAATAAGAAATCTGCAAAGAATCTATACTCCCTGCCTAAGACCGTCTAAACGTTCCTCTACAGCCACTATTATTCCGAGGAGAAACAGCACTCGAAGGCGGTAATCATGGTGACATACCCCAGGCCCAAAGGTACGAAAACCAACAATATTTCACCCCCGCATTACGTATCTATTCAGCCTATTCATGAAACAAATCTACTCAGCCTATTCAGGAAACAAATCGCGCTATTAACACCTCATGCTGATCGCAATTACCTTCTTATTTCCCTTGGTTCGCTGCGCATTTTTATCCTTTCCCATCGTGTCTTCTTCCTTCTTCTTTCACTCGGGCTGTTGTGGTTCCCTCGGCCGCTGAGACATGTTGCTCGGCTGGGACTCGGATTCGGATGGTTTGGACCAATGAGAACGCTTCTTTTCCACGTGCTGTTTAAATCCTGGATTCTGATTGGCTCTTTTTTCATGTCTATTCGTCTCTTAGGGAAGAGCGTTCGTAGAAGCGTTAATGCGGATGTGTAATTGTACGAACGGATTTTTTTTTCTTATTCCATCTAGATATTTCGTAATAGAATATATGCAAATAAATATTTCAGCCTACTTTTCTACACGTAAAACTACAAGAACCCACACACCGTATCCTAATGTATCAGACACATGGTTAAAAATATGTTTAAATCCCTAAATTAAATCCTATTTACTATTATACTATACTATTTACTATTATGTCTTGGATGTCAGACAGATCAATTGTTTTGTTTTTAATACTCCATCTGGAGAATCCTATGTTTTTAAAAATCTTTCATTATATGAACTTATGTTATATAAGTACTTTGTTGTTAATCTTTTATTCTGTCTCGCTTCGTTTGTACATAAACTCGGCGACATCATTCAATGATCAGGACATCATGTTAAGAGCATGTGGAGAGGTATATTCATAAATGATTGCAAGCTTTTGCTTTTAAGCGCTACTCTTCACGTACAAGGTCTCATTTGTTGCCATGGTTCGGGAGCTTATCATTACGAAAGTAGTCGTAAGCAAGGTCCGATTATGAAATTTTGGAGCTCCTTTTGATGGGGTCACTCACTGAAATGGACATGATTCAATATTAGGGTCCAGGCAGGGAACCCTTACCTCTAAATAGGGCCTCTCAGATAAGAGGCCTCAAATTCCGTTTTTTTTTTTTTTTTTTTTTTTTTTTTTAAGTTTAAAGCAGTTTCAGAATCAGCAATTTAAGGTAACAAAATATACTTATTTTTCATTTCTAAAAATATTTATGTATGCACACACACACACACACACACACACACACACACACACACACACACACACACACACACACACACACACACACACACACACACACACACACACACCCTGGGCAACACTGAAGGAATATTGCTGATGTAAACAAGGACATAGTCATATTTTGACACGAAGAAATAGTTGTAGAAGATGGAATCGAGCGATGTACAAGAATTTTATTATCAATATTCTCAAGGCCGTAATTCTCTTTAAAGGTGATATTCATGAAAAAGCAAACGGTAACTAATATAATTAAGTCCAGGCCACACACGAAGAATATAAGAAAATCTGGATAAGAGAAAATATGACCATAGATGACAGAGAAATACTGCAAAAAAAATTGGGAGAAGTGGAGAGGTGAAAAACAAAAACGAACAAAGGACAAGAAAAAAAATGGAGGGTGAGAAGGCAAAACAAGTTTACTATCGGAACCAAATGCGGAGATAGACAATCATTAGCCTTGCAGCCAAAAGGAATAACGAAAGAGTATATAGAAGTAGGTTATACAAATATGGATGGTTTGTGTTCGAAGTTAATACAACTAGATGCAATTATTGAAAGTAATACACCAGATGTAATATGCATTACTGAATCCAAACTAGATCCCTTCGTAGATGATGTAACATTAGGACTCAGAGATTATAATATTTGGAGAAAAGATAGGGTAAGTGGAATGGAGGGGGTTAGCAACATTAACAAGGAAAGAAATTATTATAAAGGAGACAGAGATTCAGCAAGGTCGTAAAATAAAACTAAAGGCAGTTGAGGTAGAAACAAACGGAGTAAATATAATAATAACCACAGTGTACATGCCACCTCATACATCGGCGTGGTCACAAGAAAATTACCAAAAACTTATTCAAGAAACGTTAAAGAGCCTGGAAGAAGTGCTACAACTTTCGAAAACTA